TCCTACAACTTAATAATTAAAAGACAAACATCCTAATATAAAATGCACAAAACTGAACAGCCTCTTCACAAAGTAAGATATAAAAACAGCCTATAAACACATAAAAATGCTTTACAAAATTAGAGGAATGCAAATTAAAATCACAAAGAAATACATATGTCTACTGAGGCAGGCTAAATTTAAAGAGGCTTAAACAATAAACAATGGGGTGGATGTGATTATCTGAAATTTCATACATTTCTCAGGATATGGAAAATGGTACAACATCTTTAGAAAACAATTTAAGCAATATGAGTTCTCTGGAAATAGACCCTGAGATGGTATTTGGGGTATAATATATTTATTAGAACTTTAACCCTTGTGAAAGGAAAGGAAAGTAGGATTGGATAGAGAAAGAAGTAGAATTGCAATATAGCCCTGACAAAGGTTTGTCCAACCCTTGAGAGAGCTCTGGAGTGAGTATTGCCTATTAATAGCAATCTCCAGATAAACCTCAATGAACTGGCATTTTTGTTTGGGTAACTGCAGTCTTACCTTTTCCTGAAGATTAGGGTTAATTACGCCTGTCAATATTGTATGCCCTCTTTGCCACCTGGTTCTTGTGCCCAAGATCCCAGAGTTCCCAGGTGGTAGCCATAGCTTATAACTAGATGGAAATCTTGCTTTGGCCCCTGGAAAAAGTACACTCCTTTTTCACAGCCAGAACCTCTAACCACACAGAGTCAAATATAAATAAAACATTTTAAAAATATACTTGATTCTTATTGAATTCTCAGAGTTAAGAATTCGATTGTGTGTGCTTGTTTTTCATGCAATGTGTTATTTGCGTAGGTGCATTAGGAACCTGACATTATTTTAGCCAGAATATAATTTGAAAAATTGCTTATGCAACCAATGCCTTTCCTCAAATGTCATGTTGGAGAATGTTGCTCATTTAATGAGGTATTACCAGTCACTTTTATGGATTGAAGGTTGACTTTATAGAGCCAATGCTGAGAAAGTACTGTGAAGAATATTGGCCTGGTACTTGGCTTATAGGGTCCAGCCTTACAGGTGCTAAGGGAGGTTGCATCCTGTCAAGACAAGATCCTGGGTTGTTTTGGGAACTTTAAGGAAAAAACATTGCCCTAATGTATAGATACATGGAGGAATAATTTGGTGGAGAGAGTTTTTTGACCTTAACTTCCTAATGTTAAGGTTTCCTACAGCATATAACAGAGGCCTTAAACGTCTAATCTGAGATTCTGTATGAAAACATCCCACATCACAAATTTAAGAAGGCCTTAAGGTAAATTAACATTATTGCAGCATCTGTGTAAACAATGAGGCCAAATCTAATGAGGAGAGCCTTATTTTGTGGCCAAGAGTAATTTTACTTTGAGATTATATTTTATTAAAATGGGAGTGACTATAGGGAAAAATTTGTGCTTCAATGGAAAATTCCGCATTGTTGAGAGCACACTTTTATGCATTATCTGATTCTGATTATGTGGAGACTGGGTTTTCATTGCCTTTGAGTGATTTTCTAACTAACTCTGTACTCTTAACTCTGTAAGTCGTAACTAAGACTGATCTAGCTACCGCCACAATTGTATGTCAGACCTTGTAGCAGCAGAGACTAACACCAAGAACTTGATATGGCACCATTTCTCAAGGTTACTAACCAGACACTTGATGACAAGATGACCACATTTGGGCCCTTTAATCCTGCAACAGGCATCAGTTTGATCTCACAAAATAGACATGTATTGTGGGATTATTTTTTCTGCCTGAAGACCCTCAGCTGTACCACTCTCTGAAGGGTTAGAGGGTGTTAATCCACTGTCACAGAATTCCACTAAACATTGTATCGGACCAGGACACACACGTTACAGCAAAAGAGGTGAGAGAGGGGGTTCATGGCTATGCAATTCACTGCTTATATCATATACTGCAAGTTATCAGCCTAATAGAGCATTCACACAGCTTGCAAAGAGCACATCTTAAGTATCAGCTCAAGCAATACTCTAACTGATGACATCCTTTTGGAGTCAACATATATATTGAATTAAAGCGCTTCATATGTACTGTCACCACAATAGGAAGAATACATGGGTCATGGGAGATATTGTACCTTCTGTCCTAACAATGATATTTTATTTCAGTTTACAAAAGTAGAATCTACTAGATAATAATGGGTTGGAGATTGCTTAAGAAGAAAGAGAAGAACTCATTTCCTTCCAATTCAGGAAATAGAACATAAAACAATATCAACAATATTCTGAATAAACAGAATAAGATGTTCCTTCTTAGTTCATTCAGTCTCATGTAATTCATTGTTCTTCCACTGGATCTTGAGCACCCTAGGCAGTAAATATAATCAAACACATGTAAGATATTAACCGTGGTTCTACTATAACTTTCCAATTCCTTTACTCTAGATAATTCATAAATCTTAAATTTGGACAAATAAAAATGCGTCTCTATTCTGTTCTACTCCAGATTTTCTTCTGTAACATGACCAAACAATAAACAGGAATCATGAGGTTTAAAGGAAAAAAAAAAAAGCACACGTATTTTCTCCTATCACTTTTTAATTTTGTAATGTAGATGTTCTGTTCCTGGATGTTTGATATAAACTGGGGCAGGTACCATGACTTTTCAGGTAATCCTCAGGTAAGAGAAAGTGTTAATGTCAATTTAACTTTAAAAAATACGATTAATAATTAAAACGTTAGTGAATTGCTTCACTCTTCAGTCAAAAGTAAGATTTCCCCCTTTTCCTGAGCTAAGGTCTTTTGCAATACGCCCCTTCGCCAATAGGGGAGAGAAGATGTTTTTCTTCATACTTCTTTCTCCTTGTCCAGCTGATGATCTCTTGGAGGTTGGAGTGCAGGTCCAGCAGAGAAAAAAAATTGGAGACAGAGAAGCTTTTACTTGACTAGTCTTGTCATAAGATGGCTTCAGGCTTTCCAAGTCTGAGAACTATTTAAGGCTCCCTCTTTCTCTTCAGGGTACCTTTGCAATCTTCATAGACTCCCCTGCTGGATCCTCTCACTGCTACTCCATTGATGAGCTGTGCTTCTCCTGTAGTCGACTGATCTTCATTCCTCCACCCATGTCCTCATTGCCTTGGCAGGATACTTTTTAATGACTCCGCGTTGACATTCTTATTTCAGATTCCATATTTGGTACCTAACATCATGTACCTTTTACCCTAAAGTGGCTGGCCAGTCATCTTAGTTAACCTCAACCTAACCTGGATAGCATTCAGACTAGTCTACTCTGCACCCCAGTTACAGGGATAAAATATCAAGGTATTCAGGTGACTTTGTTTTAATAAAAATGTCATTTTCATATTGCAAATTTTACATATGAGAGAATAATAAACATAAGTATTTGAGATGAACTTATATAACAACTTTACTGAGATTTAATTCACGTAGCATAAAATTCATGATTTTAAATATATGGTTCAATGGGTTTTAGTATTTTCTTAGAGTTGTACAACTATCAAAACCATTTTCAACAACTCCTTAAAAAATTCTTTATCCGTTAGAGGTCACTACTCGTTTGTTCCTTCCGCCAACCCATGAAAATCACTAATATACTTTCTGTTTCTATGAATGCCTATTCTGAACATCTCATATAAACAGAATAAAACACTAAGTGGTCTTTTGTGATTGTCTTCTTTCACTTTGCATAATGTTATCAAGATTCATTCATGCTGTAGCATATATTAGTACTTCATTCATTTTTATAGCCAAATAATAGTCCATCATACAGATGCAGAACAGCTTATTTATTCATACATCAGTTGATAAATTTGGACAGTGTATGAGGCTTTGATTTTAAAATACATATTTTTATTTCTCTTAGAAGTATATTAAAGTGTGAAATTTCTGGGTCATATGGTAACTCTATGTTTAACGTTTAGAGGAACTTCCAAACTGCTTTCCAAAGTTGGCACACCATTTTGTAATCTCACCACCAATATACAAAGGTTCAAATTTCTCCGAATTCTTGTCAACACTTGTTACTGTTGTTCTTTTAATTTTAGTCAGCTCATAGGTGTGAAATGGTATCTCATTGCAGATTTGACTTGCATTTCCCCAATGATTAATGACATGAAGGATCTTTTACAACTTCGTTATTGAGTTGTAAGGATTCTTTCTAAATTCTGGATGCATATTCAGATATATGATTTGCAAATACTTTGTTTCATTCTGTGAAAGAATTCTGTGAAAGTCAGCTGTCTGTTGACTTTCTTGATGGTGTCCTTTGAATCACAAATTTTTTGAATTTTAAGTCTAATTTATGTATTTTTTCTTAGTTTGTACTTTGAAATGGATATAAATCCATTTCCCCTACTTAAGTTTAAAAAGATCTACTCCTATGTTTCCTTCAAATAATTTTACTGTTTTAGCTCTTGTATATATGTTTATAACATATTTTGATATAATTTCTTTGTATACGGTGTGAGGTAGAGGTCCAAATTCATTCTTTTGCATGTCGATATCCAATTGCCCTACCATCATTTTAAAAAAAATCCCATTTTTTAAAGATTAAATATTAAATAACTGCCACTATATTTGCAGTGTGATGTTCTTGATTTGAACCTGTACTAATCCACACAATTTCCAAATTCATAGAGCATCCTTATCCTGACAAAATATACTACAGGAAATAGGGGCTCAGAAATTTTCTGTTTCCTTCCCGTGTGCTGAGTCTAGCGAAAATATTTCAAATATTTATATCCATCTATTTATGAATATATGTGGGATAAATATATTTTCATGTTTCTCTTGGTATCCTACTTATATGTGTTATGATATTATTCTTATCCATATTTTATAAAACATTTTCTTTCAGTCATAAGAACTGTTATAGAATGCTTGGAATCACAGAATTTTTACTGACCAAATAAATGGCTAAACAAATATACATTTAAGCAAATTAATTTAGGCCATTGCAGGAAGACTCTTCTGAGACACACATCCTGATTCCCTCACATTCCTGTAATGTCAAACTTTAACACCTCTGAAGTGGAAATCTCTACCTTCCTCCTCATTGGGATCTCAGGGATGGAGCCTACTCACATTTGGGTCTCCATCCCCCTTTGCCTCAAGGACCTTGCTGCCATACTGGGGAACTGCACCATCCTCTTTTTCATAAAAACAGAAACCTCTCTGCATGAGCCTATGTATTATTTCTTCTCCATGCTGACCTTTTCTGACCTAGGACTGTCCATCTCCTCCCTTCCAACCATGCTGAGAATCTTCTTGTTCAATGTCATAAGAATTTACCCTGATGCATGCTTTGCCTAAGAGTTTTTCATTCATGGATTCTCAACTATGGAGTCATCAGTTCTTCTTATCATGTCCATTGATCGCTTTATAGCCATCTACGTCCCTCTGAGATATACCTCCATCCTGATCATTGACAGAGTCGTTAAAATTGGCCTTTTATTTGTTATAAAAAATATCTTATTGGTCTTCCCTCTTCCCTTTATTCTCAGGAGGCTGAAATTCTGCAAGAAAAGTCTATCCCACTCGTACTGCCTCTGCCAGGATGTCATGAAGCTGGCATATTCTGACAACAGAGTCAATATCACTTATGGACTATTTGTGACTATAGCAGTTTTGTCACACTTGGTGTGCATTTTCATGTCTTATATGCTGATCCTGAAAATCACCTCAGATAAGGGCTGCCTCAAGGCCCTCAACACTTGTATCTCCCACATCTGTGCTGTGTTCATCTTCTATGTGCCTGTCATCACCTTGGCTATTATTCACCACTTTGCCAAACATGTTTCTCCAGATATTAGAGTTATCATAGCTGATATCTTCCTTATGGTTCCCCCTCTAAGGAATCCCATTGTGTACTCTGTGAAGAATCAGCTGATTAGAAATGGGATCCTGGCAAAATTATGTGAGAAAGAAGGTTGATGGGAAATTTGAGCTGCAATGAATGCCCAGCTCACCTGGAAATTTTTGAACAAATGTAGGAATCCAAGAATGACAATGAATTAATAGAGATTGACATAAATATGTACTGCATTTACTCAGCAGGCTCATCAAATTTCAAAACATAATTTAGCAGCAACAATTCACTAGATGGCTTGAGGTTATAATATTCTGATAACTACGTTTCATACTGGCTTTCTCTCTTTTACCTCTCCACACAACCAGCTATACAACTATATCAACAACAGCCATAGAAGCACCATCTTAATTTGATTAAGCAAATTTTCAATATATTATTAGCAAAAAAAGAAGAAAATTGATATATTCATTTAGGAAAAAGAAAACATGGCTCCAATTAACTCAGGAATGATCAGCAGTGACTAAAGTGAACTGAAAGACTTGTCACACACACACGTATATACACACACATAAAGTGTCAGTATCTCCTAAACACCTAGCTTTGTGCGTCTGTGTGTGTGTGTTGGGAGGATATGTGTGTTTGTGTATGTGTGTCATACATGAAAAATTCAAATAAACCATATAAATACTCCTCTCCTCAAGTACTGTGAAACATGTATTAAATGTAAAAATAATAGATGAATAAATATTTTATTCATTTATATTTTAAATTGTCTGAAATGTATTTAATAAAATGCTTCCTTTGGCAAGCATATTGGATGACCTGGTCCTTATTCAAGTCTGTATAACAACTTTTTGCCAGTTATAGTCCTAAATGACAGTATTATTTCTTAATTGTCTATATCCTACATCAATGTGTATGTGATTAAAGTAGAATATTTTAATTTCTGTCCTTATCAGTGTCCAGCAAAGTGCCTGGAACATATCAGTTGTTTTTAGCATGTTTGTCAAAAGCATAGTAATCCTACCAAATTTTGAAGGCATGAATATAATGTATGACAAGAAAATCAAAGAATCTATTAGAATATGTCTGGCAACCTTCATTAATGTAGAGTTCAGTTGTTCTGCAAATTAATTAGTTGAGACAGAAATTAAAGTAAAGGCAAGCACAGGGCCGGCTCTGTGGCTTAGCGGTTAAGTGCGCGAGCTCTGATGCTGGCGGCCCGGGTTCGGATCCCGGGCGCGCCCCGAGGCACCACTTCTCCGTCCAACGCGAGGCCGAGTCCCACGTACAGCAACTAGAAGGATGTGAACCTATGACATACAACTATCTACTGCGGCTTTGGGGGGGAAAAAAATGAATAAATAAAATCTTTAAAAAAAAAAAAAGTAAAGGCAAGCACAAATAGTATTCAGAAATCATAAAATAACTGGAGTAATCTACTGTATACAGATAGCATCTAATCAGGTCCTCGCTAAAAGTCATCTACGTGAATTTAGTCGTACTTCTAATAAGCACTACTATCTTTAATCCACACTAAACTCTAAAAATTAGAAAGCTCATATTAGATAGACCCCCTATATTTAGTGACAGTAAACCAAATGAAATTATTTTATTTATACAACATTTTTAGGTAGAGCATTTCAATGGCTCACAGATATGAAGTAAAAGTTTTAGGAACCTGGGGAGCTACATCATCGTTAAGTTCTAGAAGATGTCATTAGCACTATCAACTCGCACTCTCTTCACCTGTCTGCTTCTATTAGTATTCTGAATGAAGCAACCTACATAATGTGGTAAATGGTCATAGCAGGAGGACCAAATAGTGGGGACACTTCTTACATTTCAACTAACAGAGAAGAGAGGAGTCTTGCACTATAAACTGCAGTTAGAGATCTAGGGAAAGAGCTGAAAAATACAGATTATCTAATACCCTTAACCCAGAACTGGTCATAATACCTATGGATATGAACTCAATTTGCTTGGCAAAACTGGGTCATGGCATTACTACAATCACTGTGACTGTAATAAACAAAGAAAGGAGTTTCTCTTCCTAGAAGCTTTGGAGAAATGGTATTTGGAAAGAATAAACAAAACAAAACAAATTAAAGTAAAATAAAACCAAACAAAACCACTAGCTGTCTACTAAAACAGCCAAAAGATGACAGAATGACACTAGTGAGAAACAACAACATCAAAAACATGATTTAAAAAAAATTATTAAGGTTACATAAGAAATCAACTCACATAGTGGCCTGTAGGAATTGTCTTGGGAGTTCTCAGGAAATACATACATCATGCTATTACACCAAGAATTAGGAACCAAGATACTTGGTGGAGTATGCAATTGGAGAGTATCCAAATGGAGAATGCAATTCATCATGAAAATGTTATCCCAAGGTCATGAACATGTTATTATAGTTTTTCTTCTACATTTTTTTATTTTACATTTAATACTTAGGTCTATGATCTACCTGAAATTAATTTATGATAAAGTTCAATACTTATTTATTTATTTTTGAATATAAATTGCTCCATTTATTGAAAAGACCTTCCTTTCCTTATTGAAGTTTGTTACCGTTACTTTGTCTATTCTTGTGTGTTGGTTCACAACCTCAGGAATTTTCTGGGTAAAATCCGAAACTGGCCCCTGTACGTGTAGGGCAAGGAGAGACTGAAGAAAGAGGCAGACTACTCCAGATTGGTAGGTGGCAGGTTTAATAAGCAAGAGGACGTACATACGAGGCTTGTCTTGAGCAGCCACAAGATGAGTAGATCTCCACACCTGCCTGTCAGAATCTTAAAAGTTTATACAGCGGCCTTAACTGGGTTGTCATAAGCCTATCCAGGTCATCTCAACATTGCTCTCTCAAGGCTACGTCCTTGAAAATGGCACCCACTGTGGGAATGGTGGGCAAACATACATTCTAAGGACAGGGGAAGGGGTAAGGAGCCTCCAATTGCCTGGGTCCAGCTCATCAGTCAACTGGCAGTTCATCTTCTCTATGACCTTCTCTAACACTGTGTCAATACCACACTGCTGAATGAATGCTCCTTTAGAGTTAGTCATGAAATCTAATGGTATAGTTCATCCAATGTTTTTCTTGTCTTGCCTATGCTAGGGTTTTTACATTTCCACATAAAGGATACAATCAACTTGTCAATTTCCATAATAAAATTTACTAGGATTTGATTAGAATTATGCTGAGTCAATTCTTACTCAGGGAAAATCACTATCTTAGGAAAATAGCGTTTTCTAATCAATGAACATAATCTTTCTCTATTATTTAGGTCTTCTGTTAAAATTATCTGCTATGTTTTGAAGTTTTCAGTGTACATGTCTTGAAAGCATTTAATTACATTCATTTTTACATATTTGATATTCCCAATTAAACATCTTGATTGTTTGATGTAAATGATATTTTCAATGTATACAAATAGTTTTTTCAAGTATGTAGAAATTCAGTTTTGTATATTGATCTTTTATCTGGCCTGTTTTTCTAAACTCCCTTATTTTAAATATTTATAGATTTCTACATAAGCAATCATATCATTTGTGAATAGAGACATTTTTACTTTATCCTTTCAAATTTTTATATTTTTCATTTTTTTTTCTTTCTATGTTACACTCTCTTATACATCTAGTACAATTTTGAGCAGAAGTACTACTAAGGACATCCTGAACTTCACATGTCTTTGAGGAAAAACGTCCAACATTTTTCATTGTTTTAATGTTAGTTATAGTATTTTTATATATGTCTGTTAATTCAAGGTAGTACCCTCTATTTCTAGTTTACTCATAGCTTTCATGATAAAAATATTTTAGGATTTTTTCTACTGAGATGATCATGTAGTTTTTCCTCTATGTCATTGTGAAGTATATTCATGGTTTTTGAAAACTATGTATTCCTATAACAAAGTCCAGTTGGTCATGATGTATTATCCTTTTTATATATCACTGTCCTTTATGTGCTATTTTTAATATGTTTGTATCTATATTCATGAGAAATATTAACCATTGGTTACTGTTTCTCCTTATGTAATTGTCTGGTTAGGTATCACACATAAAACTAGTGGAGAAGTGTTTTATTCTCTAACAGAGTATGTATAATATTGGCATTCTTCTGTTAAATGCTTAATATGAATCACAAATGTGGTCTCTTGGCTTGCACTTTACTTTGAGGGCTTCTTTTTTTTTTAATTCTAAATTAAATTTTGTTAACAGATAAAGAACTAACCAGCTTTCCCCCCTCGTTTTTCAGTTCTGGAGACTAGAGTTTATCAAAGAATTTGTCCATTTCACTTAAGTTATCCATTTTACTGTAAAAAAGACAAAGTTGTTTATTATGTTCATTATATCAACTTAATATCTTTTATATTGTTGGTAGAATCTATAGAGATATTCCCTGTCTTCATTATTAATATAAATTTCATGTTTCCTCTTTTTATTCTTGATTAGTGTTGCTAAGACATTTATGGATATTCTTAAACTTTTCATAGAACCAGAACGAGATTTCTGTTTTGTTGATTTTCTCTATTTATATCAGATATATATTTTATTGATTTCTCATCTTACCTTTATTATTCCTTCCTTTGTACTTTGGGTTTAATTTGCTTTTCTTTATTATCATCCTGAAGTGGAAGTTACATCTTTAGATTTTCACCTATACCTCTTTCCCGATAAATGAACTCAACTTAAAATTGTCTGTAGAGGCACTACTTTAGCTACATCTCATCCATTTTATATATCACATCTTCATGATTATTCTGTGCATAAGAGCCAAGGGAAAAAATGGCTGTCCTCTAATATTTTTTTGACAGGAAAAACACTTCAAATCTATGTAACAAAGTGTTAGTAATTATATTTGCATAATTCATCTTTATTATAATATTTATAATGTTTTGCACTTAAAACTTTCTCTACATACAAATAAAACTTTTATGTATTATCTATATACAAATAAATTTTCAAATATAATATTATGCAATAAACATATGCAAAAGTAGCTATAATACTATTTTAATATGTAAAAATTCATATAAGTAGATTCTACAATTACTAGAATCTGTCTTTTTATTTTATAGCAAATATAGCAAAATAGGAATGATAATAAAGGTAAAA